ATGGTGTGGTTGGAGAAGAGAGGAAGCTGGTGGGCCAAAGTATTCGCATCACGATGCGCTGCCCAAAGCTGTCCTTAACGAAGTGAAGCCGGTGTACGAACGCTTGACGGCCGATACCTTGCTGCGGAGATGTGAGAGGTCTGCTACACAGAATGCAAACGAGTCACTGAATGGACTCATCTGGACCGTGTGTCCCAACGAGTCATTTTGCAGCAAGCGGGTTGTCAAAACGGCCGTGCATTTAGCTGTGGTGACCTTCAACGAGGGCTACGAGAAAGTCTCTGCCGTGCTGGCCGCATCTGGGTGCAACGTGTCTCCATCCTCTCTTCGCTTCCCGAAGAAGTTTGATGATGATAGAGCATACCATAGGAGGCGAAAGTCAAGTGAAGATGAGAGGTCATCCAGGAAGAGGAGACGCGCAATCAGGAAGAGATTTGCAGACCGAGCCCGAGAGGAGGAAGGCGATACCTATACTCCAGGTGGATCTTAGATAGCAAAACTTCATCATGTTTCAGCCCAACGGCCGATCTGTGGCGCAGGATATCTCGGGCTGTGTGCATCACAGACCAATAAACCTTATTCCCGTAGCTATGCAGAAGACGTTACTTCAGTAACGTCTGGCGCTAGCCAGGGTCCACACAGCTTTAATTTGGTGTTTGTTTGTTTGTTTGTTTGTGTCATGCCTGACGCTATCCCGTATCTGTCCCGTACCGCACCATCAAACACAGCTGGCCATTTGCTGGCTCCCGTATCGGTCCCGTACCGTACCGTACCATCAAACACAGCTAGCTGGCCACAAACAGCTGGCCACAATATTGGTCGTATTATGTACATGTATACGACCCCCTGTGTGTTGTAACTGTGCTTGCAGGGGACGGTTGCACTTTTTGTAGCTCCGTTTTATCTCAGTTTTCAGTCGTTCCTCTTACATGTACTAGTCTTGCCAAGGGGGTGGCTCTAGGTCCACCAGAGTCGCCCCTGGCGTGTTTCTGAATTTGCTGGGGCGAGGGTTCCGCGACGCGGTCGCCAAGGCAGTGTCTTTTCAGTCACGACCGTTGTCGTCCTCGTCTCTCCATTCGCGGTGGTGTAGCGGACCCCCGAATGGTTTCAAACTGCGAAGCTCGGAGGAGTACAGTGGTGGCAGAGGCATGAGCTGTGAGTGGAGACGGTTGCTGGAGATGGATGGTGATGCAGGGAGAAGAGTTACGCTGCCTGACGACGCGTGGGAAATTGTTTGAACCTGCAATTGCAGTTCGAGCGCGGTGGACTCCTAGACGATGTGTCCTCATGGCTGTTCTTCAACGCTTGGCCTATCGCTGATATCCCTGCGTGGGATGTTCTTCCAGTGGAGTCCAGGTGGGACTTTGGGTGCCCACACTCCATCACATGGTTGATTGTTTCGGAACTGCAAAAATAATTATTGTTTCCTTTTTTGTGCGCATCTCTTTTTTCTATACGTCGCACACCAGATGTACTACTATCGCTGTCTTTCTCTTGCTATCTCTCTCTGCTTGCTGTTTTTGTTTCTGTTGCCACTGTCCCTCATCATACCCATGCTTGGGTGGAGCGCGGCGTGACCCGTTAGCGTAGCTGTCAATACAGTACGACTCCCTGATGTATAGGGAGACTTTCTGGAAAGAAATAGGAAGACGAGGAGGAAGTGATATTAGAATGGATGTTAGTTGCCGAATAGGTGATAGGATGCGTCAGCAAAAACATATATATATACTTTGGAAGAGAGATCCCGTCGTCCCCAAAATAGGCGGGAACGGGCGAGTCAGCGCCGGTCACAGGAAACGTCGGGAGAGAGATCCCGTCGACTCCAGAACGCCCGTGATCGGCAGAGTCAGCGTCGTCCCAGGAAACATTTCCATCAGTTCCCACAACACGCACGATGAGCTAAGCAACAAAGCATAGCGTAGGGCCCTGAGCTTCCAAGCTCTCTCGTATGTAAACGCATCTACATACAATTGCCGAGGTGCTAACGTTCTTCGTTTCTTAGAAATCCCACTCCTATAGAATTAGTGCATCATAAACCTTTTCATCTAATGCGCACATTTTTCGTACCTACGATATCCAGACTTTCTGTTATCCAAAGCCGTATTGTAATACATGTCATTGCGCTGGATTCTGTAGTTCGTATGCTACATCTTTACTTATAAAGAAGAGGCACCTGTGACGTGTGTCTGTGTGTGTGTGTGTCACGCTCCTTATAAAGAAGAGGCACCTGTGACGTGTGTTTTTGTGTCACGCTGAAGCGCTGCGCGTGCGGAGCAGCGCTGCCCTGAGCACGCGAAGCGCCACTGCCAAAGCAGCGTGGGCTCCGCAGGAGGGTGCAAATTTCATGATCTCCGACGGTTACGTCGGCAAGCGAGCCTCCGCCACTGCCAAAGCAGCGTGGACTCCGCAGGAGGGTGCAAATTTCAAACCAAAATTTAAAGGCCTACTGCGCTGCCCTGAGCACGCGAAGAGTGCGAATCGTGTAGCTAGCGGAAGCAGCCACAGAATCGTGTAGCAGGACAAGTGAATAATTAGTCAGTCCATTGTTCATGATGATCTCCGACAGTTACGGTTACGTCGGCAAGCGAGCCTCCGCCACTGCCAAAGCAGCGTGGGCTCCGCAGGAGGGTGCAAATTTCATGATCTCCGACGGTTACGTCGGCAAGCGGCCCTCCGCCACTGCCAAAGCAGCGTGGGCTCCGCAGGAGGGTGCAAATCTATGAGGGAGGTTCTTCATCGTTGGAAGGAGAAGGAGGGACGTCTGGTACGCCTTCGGGAGGCTGGTCAGGGTTGTCCATCACCTGGTGGCGGATGAAGCGGCTCAAAAAATTCATAAACTTACGAACAAAAGTGCGATGCGCTCTTCACTGCAGATCAGATGCAGAGTGCAGTCAGTGCAGATCTGGTGAGCTCACCAGTACTTCAGCGGTCTAGCCACCACGTGCTGAGCACGTGTGCTGTTCACGTACCCACATTCGGCCAGCTGCAGGCCAGGCAACGCTGGCCGGTGGTGCTGCTAGTGTGTTCATAATTTGAAGGAAATGTATGAACTATGAAGGCACATTGTTATGGTATTTTGAATGGCGGCGTGTCGTGCTAAAGTGCTGAAGGTGGTCTGCCGCCGCTGAGGTCAAGATCATTAATGTTGCTTCGATCGACATCACTCACGATTTGAAATGGCGAATTTTCTCCTCGTCGCTTGATCGCTTGTGGACGAAGAAATAGTAAACTAGGAATCCACCGAAGGCCACTAGTAACAGCACATCCCATACGCCAATAGGCAACGCTGAACCAACGTCCTCGGGCACGGGCGTCAGAATCAGCCATTGCAAGATTGGGAATGGCAAACAGTTCCAGCGACTGACTCAGTGTAACTACTACTACAGATACATCTAAAACAACTCTACTACTACCGGTACTACCAAAGTATTGCTGCTAGATATCTGATCGATCCCACAAAGGAAAATTCAAAAAATATCAGATTCTGCAATTATTTATTTGCGTGGAAGTTTGGCTTCGACTTCCTCCCGAATCCTTGTTCTCTCCTGGGAAAGACCAGCCAGACAGTCGACGGACACTTCGTTCAAACTATTTGCCACCGCCAAGTGCAAGTCAGACGCAGAGTGAATGAGTCTGAAGTGGTACCGTGCGAGCTGAGTGATGGCCCATCAACCCCGCCGTATCTTTCTTGTTTTCAAATTTCCAGAGCTCATATCGATAATCATGGTGGGTTGTATTGTTACTTCTTTTGCTGCCATTCACATGATTCACGTGCTGGTGACGTGACAAAATTAATAGAAAATATTTTTCGTCGGGTCATTTGCTGGATATACATAATCCTGAGAGAGAAGAGAAAAGAGATGGCTGCAGTTCTGGATGGAGAGTCTCCAACTGCAACCAATGCTGCTACCCGTGCTCTTACAGCGCCAACAACGAGCGTTCAGCGATCACAGCAGCAGACTGAGTTCCACGATCCCGACATTGATGAGTACATCGCAACTTGTGACCCAACAGTGCAATCCCCAACTCACCAACGGTCTCTGATGCAGAAAGCTACGAAGACCATCAACTTTTCCGGAGCTCAGTTTGGTGCAAACTGCAATGTTCACCTGCACCTGTAGGCTGTAGGCTGTAGTCACTGCGAAGAAGAGAAGCTGAACTGACCTGGTTTTTAGCTGACTAGACCGCCCTTGTTTTATCTCTGTGTTGTGACTGTGTACATTAGTCATTATGTAACATGTCTGAAGTACTAAACTGGCGACTAGTTGTGTTCCTTGTCTGGTCTAGTGTGCGTGCCTTGAGTAGGTACTAGGTATGTGTGAAGTACTACATGTAGTAGTACTACTAGTAGTACGAAGTAGTTCGTGCAATGCATGTCAGAAATGGTATCAAAGCATTCGTACTCGGACTCAAGTGCTAGAATCGGAGCCCTCCGCGCTAGCGCGCGTCGGGCTCCGATTCCGCACTTTCGTCCTCGTGTAGCAACCCGCTGCGCGCTTTATGGATTATTTGTGTTTCGTCTGGTTTACCATAGATTTTCAGGTTTTTCCCTTTTGCGTCACACTTGCTTTTGCGGAGGTGTACAGCACAGCGTACACCATGTTTGTAACTCGCGTTGTCTTCCCGTATACGATTTTCTTGCACATGCCGCGCCTTCGTATGAACCTTGAACTCTGCGGTACAACCCAGTCCCGTACGGCATGCATTTGTACACACTGAGTTATCCGACTTGTTTATTTTTCTCCTCTGCCGTTGCCTTTCTGCTTCTTCCCCACTCGATTGACAACAACAAGTACTCTATTTTCTACTCTCACAGTCTTGGTGTTCGTGGGTGAATTAGTATAGTAATTGGAGCCGCTATCCTCCAAATTGGTGACCCCGTACAACCGGTCAGCATCAGGCTACCGCGTTGTAGCCCAAGTGCCGGTATCCCGAACTCTCGCTGCAAGTAATTTTCGTTCGTGTGTGGTTGAAGACCCTGCCTAGTACTAGTAGTAGTAATGGAGCGCGATACCTCAGCCCACGCTAAAGCCACTCCCATGCCCAGCACACCTATCGGTAGCAGCAAATTGCTAGCTCGCACCGAGACCGCGCTGGCCGCCAAGAGCACAGGGACACCGAGCAGGTTGGCCGCCAAGCAGGCGCCTTCGTCCACAGAGACAGAACAAGGCACAGGTACTCTTGTCGCTGCCAACGCCGACCCGCCCGCACACCGTGCTGGCAGTCCCGATGTGTCAGCCATTACTGCGGTAAAGCTACCGCCTTACTACGCGAGCGACCCACAAGTCTGGTTCGGCGTGGTGGAAAGTTTGTTCCGGACTAGGAATATCAGCAGGCAGTCCACGAAATTCCACCATGTCATCAGCAGTTTGAGCGCTGATTTCGCCACTGAGGTACGCGACCTCATCCTCAACCCGCCAGAGGATGCACCGTTTGACCAGCTGAAAGCTCGCTTGATACAGCGTACGCAGCTGAGTGAGCAGCGCCGCATACGCCTGCTCCTCTCCGAAGAAGAATTGGGTGACAGGAAGCCCACACAGCTGTTGCGGCGGATGCAACAACTCCTGGACGACCACACAATGGACGACGGACTGTTCCGCGAGTTGTTCATCCAGCGGCTGCCAGAGAAAGCCCGCCTGATCCTCGCGTCAAGCTCAGAGGCACTGCCCCTGGAGGATCTGGCCACCATGGCCGACCGGATTTTGGCAGTTTCGCCCGAAGCGAACGCAATCATGGCTCTTCGTCCCGCCGCAGCAAGTATGCCGGACAGTACTGTGGCACGCCTGGAGCGGCAAATTGCTGAACTGACTGCAGCAGTGTCCGCCCTTGCTGAGCCTCGTTTCCGTGGTCGTTCTACAAGTAGGAGCAGCACACCTTCGCACTCCCGGTCCAGCACACCAACACGTGACGTGTGCTTTTATCACCACCGATTCGGCGATCGTGCTCGCCATTGCCGGAGCCCCTGCTCTTTCAAGCGGCAGGAAAACGCGCAGGCCAGCAAGTAGTGGCACCCTTGTCTGGCCTAGCTGGAAGTCGCCGCCTGCACGTCCGTGATCGGCTCTCCAAGATGCAGTTCTTGGTGGACACCGGAGCCGCTGTCAGTGTAGTGCCGCCGACCTCCCAGGAGCGTCACCGTTGCCGTGGCACTCCACCACTACGAGCAGCTAATGGCAGCACCATTGTCACCTATGGGATGCGATCCCTGACTATTGACATTGGTCTCCGTCGCCGTTTTCAGTGGGTGTTTGTCGTGGCCGACATTATGCAGCCCATTCTCGGTGCAGATTTCCTGGCTAATTTCCAGCTGCAGGTTGATCTGCACAGCCGCCGCTTGCTGGATGCCCGCACCTCACTGCATATCTCTGTGCCTGTTTCTGCCTCCGCTCAGCCGTCTGTACATGCGTTAATGCCTGACTCTTTGCCGCCGCCTATTCGCTCCATGCTGGCTCGCTATCAGTCTGTCACGCAACCTCCTGCGTTTGATCGGCCCGTTCTGCATAACGTGGCGCATCACATCGTCACCAGTGGACCTCCTGTTTTCGCCAAGCCACGCCGCCTCGCTCCTGAACGCTTGGCAGCGGCGAAGCAGGAATTTCAGCACATGCTTGACCTTGGCATCATCCGGCCATCCGAGTCACCCTGGGCCAGCCCACTCCACATGGTCCCCAAACCCAACGGAGATTGGCGACCTTGCGGCGACTACCGCGCCCTCAATCTGGCCACTCAACCAGATCGGTACCCAATTCCTCACATACAGGATTTTACGGTACGACTCGCCGGCTGCAAGGTTTTCACCAAGATCGACCTGGTCCGGGCATACCACCAAATCCCTGTCGATCCCGCCGATATTGCAAAAACTGCTGTCACGACGCCATTTGGCCTCTTCGAGTTTGTGCGCATGCCGTTTGGCCTTTGCAACGCTGCACAATCCTTCCAGCGATTTATGGATCAGGTGCTCGCCGGCCTCGACTGCAGCTTCGACTATATTGATGACTTGCTCGTCGGCAGCCCAGACCTGTCCACCCACCTCAGCCACGTGGAGCAGGTTCTGCAACGCCTCGATAAGCATGGGCTCGTCATTAATGTCACCAAGTCCGTATTTGCTGTGCCCACCGTAGAGTTCCTGAGCCACACTGTGTCTGCCGATGGAATCTGCCCTCCTGCCAGTCGGGTCGACGCCATCCAGCAGTTCTGTGCACCTACCTCGCTGACCCAGCTCCGTAAGTTCTTGGGGATGCTGAACTACTATCGACGCTTCATCCCACATTGTGCGGAGATTGTTCAGCCCCTAACGGATCTGCTATGCACCAAGGTCGGCAAACAGTCTGCTCGTCCGCCACGTAAGCCACCTGATTTTGTCTGGCCACCAGCTGCTGCTGATGCATTTCTCGCCGCTAAAGCTGCTCTGGCCTCCGCTACCCTGCTCTGTCATCCCTGTGTGCAAGCGCCGATTTGCATAATGGCTGACGCATCTGACCTGTGTGTGGGCGCTGTACTGCAACAATACGTGCACAGCTCCTGGCAACCGCTGGCCTTCTTCAGCAAGAAGTTGTCTGACACCGAGCGCCGATATAGCACCTTCGGCCGAGAGCTATTGTCGGTGTATCTGGCTGTCAAACACTTCCGCTACTACATCGAAGGTCGTGTGTTCCGCGTCTTAACGGACCACAAGCCGTTGACGTTTGCTCTGAAGCAGACCACCACAGCATCACACTCGCCCCGTGTCCTCCGTCAGCTGTCATTCATCGCAGAATTTACCACGGACATTCGTTTCGTTAAGGGTGAGCACAATCCGGTTGCGGATGCTTTGTCTCGTATTGCTGTCTCTGCTGTCTCAGCTGTCTCGCCGCCTGCCGCTGTTGACTTTGCTAGTCTCGCTGCTGCGCAACAAGCTGATGCTGAAACTCAGTCTTATCTCAATCATCCTGACTCTGCCTTGCGTCTTCAGTCTCTTGCTCTGCCTGACTCTGCTGCTCCTGTGCTGTGCGATGCTGCAACATTGCCCGCCCGTCCGTTTGTACCGCTGCAGTTCCGCCGTGCTGTCTTTGACTCGCTTCATGGCCTTAGTCACCCTGGGATCCGTGCCAGCAACCGCCTCATTGCCGCTCGTTTTGTTTGGCCGCACATGCACCGTGATATCACCACCTGGACCCGCACGTGTGAGCAGTGTCAGCGCGCCAAAGTGTTCCGTCATGTGAAAAGCCCGGTTGGCCAGTTTCTGCCACCCGACGACCGCTTTGCACAGGTACATGTTGACCTAGTTGGCCCTCTGCCTACCTGCCAGGGTTATACATACCTGCTAACCTGCATCGACCGCTTCACCCGCTGGCCAGAAGCCTTCCCTATTGCTGATTCAACTGCCGCTACAGTAGCCGCTGCCTTCGTCTATGGCTGGGTTTCCCGATTTGGCGTTCCGTCCTCCCTTGTGTCGGACCGTGGCGCTCAGTTCGAGTCCAATCTCTGGTCAGAACTGATGAAGTTACTTGGATGTCACCGCTCCCGCACCACCTCCTACCATCCCCAATCGAATGGTATGGTGGAACGCTTTCACCGCCACTTGAAGTCGTCACTGAAAGCTCTCAATGGTCCAACCCACTGGCTGACATCACTACCGTTGATCCTCCTCAGTATCCGCTCCTCCACGAAGACTGACACTGATTGTTCCGCCGCTGAGCTTGTGTATGGGACTAGTCTCCGGCTCCCAGGTGAATTCTTCCCTGGCACGTCTGCTCCCATCCGCTCTGGTGGAGCCGATTATGTCGCTCGTCTTGCTAACGCCCTGCACCGCTTGCAGCCACTGCCTGTTCGCCAGGTGTCCGACTCTACTCCTATCCATCTGCCCGCTGATCTGCAATCTGCTGCTAAAGTGTTTATCCGCTGCGATGCAGTTCGAAAGCCACTTCAGCCACCCTATGATGGTCCCTACCCTGTTGTTCGCCGCAGTGCTAAATATTTTAAAGTGCTGGTGAAAGGCAAGGAGCAGGTTGTCTCTGTAGACCGTCTTAAGCCTGCTCACTTGCTCTCCTGACTCTCTTTGTGTCATTGCTCACTACCCAGTCGTACTTAATAACTCTGGTTTTCTTCTTTCGTTTTCTCTCTATTCTCTGAGTTTATCGTGTTCGTATCGTGCCTCTCGTCCACTGGCGGGGGAGTGATGTAGCAACCCGCTGCGCGCTTTATGGATTATTTGTGTTTCGTCTGGTTTACCATAGATTTTCAGGTTTTTCCCTTTTGCGTCACACTTGCTTTTGCGGAGGTGTACAGCACAGCGTACACCATGTTTGTAACTCGCGTTGTCTTCCCGTATACGATTTTCTTGCACATGCCGCGCCTTCGTATGAACCTTGAACTCTGCGGTACAACCCAGTCCCGTACGGCATGCATTTGTACACACTGAGTTATCCGACTTGTTTATTTTTCTCCTCTGCCGTTGCCTTTCTGCTTCTTCCCCACTCGATTGACAACAACAAGTACTCTATTTTCTACTCTCACAGTCTTGGTGTTCGTGGGTGAATTAGTATAGTAATTGGAGCCGCTATCCTCCAAACTCGTACTCATGCTCGATTCCATACATCAGGCCCGAGCAGACGAGGTCTGTGAGTGATCTTGCCCGAGGTCGCGACGCCCAAGGGGCGTAGCCCCGAGGGCGTCGCGACCGAGGGCAAGATCACTCACATGACCGAGGGCCTGATTAGAGCGGCATGCCCGACGCAACTGTGTAGGATTGCGCTTCAGACAAGGCCCACCTCACAAACAACAAGGCCCAGTACAGTAGAGAGATTCAAACAGAAAGAAAGCCTTGACGGCAAATGAGTTGTCACATTGTGTGCAGTGACCATCACAAACAGCTATTAAATTTTGTTTGGTCGTGACTTTCCACTTTTGAGATGAAAGTGTAGCATGGCTACTTTATGACACTTAATTTGTATACACATAAATAGTACACCGTAGGAATGCATGGATAGCAGTGCGCATACTCGCACTGCCTTGTCTTCTTCTTCTCCTTGTGAGACAATGAACTATGGATAACTACTTACGTAACAACAAGTATGATTGTGCTTTGAGTGCTGAGAGTATACGAGTTACAATGGTGGCAGCGGAAAAATAGTCGTCGGTTTTGTCCACGGCTGGGAAGACGCCTCCGCAGGAGAGACAAGTTGCAGAGTCGACAAGTTCCAGAGAGTCTGAGACCAGTTCCAGCTACTCGGGAGACCAGCCCACAGACTAAGTTCTAATTACTAGTATTGATCATTCTAGCCTTCGTCTCGTTTTCCATTCTTTGCTCCTTGACTGATCGTTCGCTGTGCATGAGTAACAGTTTTGTTTGGTGTAGAAAGGGCTACATTTTCACAAAAATATTTTGCGCACGTGAGTGTGCGTGCATACTTAGCAAGTACACTGTTGACGTCATGTCCTGTGCACGTGTAGGTCCGTGTGACGTAACCAGAATGTTTTGTGTAGGTCAATTTTTTTTGTAACATTTTTCAAAAGTTTTTTTGAACTACATTGTACAAATGTTTGTAGCTTGGGCCATTGATATGATAGTGAGATATCGAGATGGGCAAGTCCAAAGGCAGAAAGAAGACCAGGTCCCCTCGACCTCGTCCGTTCAAGATACCGTCTGACGAACATGCCAGTGCATCAGAGTTGCACCAGTCTAATGACACCGGAGTGCGTGATCCACTAGCTCAGGCGCTCGAGAAACTTGATCGCAGGTTGACCGACCTCGAAAAGAGACTGAGCTGTTTGGAAATTGTTGCTCCACGCACACAGGTTCCTGTAGGAGCAAGTTTCGAATTTGATCAGCCTCATAGTAGTAGCAGTGGTCGTGGACATTCGTATGGTCGTGGTGGTCAGGTGGAACCACCGATTTGTTGTGGTTGTGGACAACCTGGCCATTTTGCTCTAGATTGCCCACACAACCCTTGGCGCTCGGGAAACTGAGTACGACTGGTGGTGTGGGACAACTCCCAGTCGTTCACGAGGAGCCATCAGATGCAGTACG